TCTTAAGCTTGGGGGCACATTTTCCCTATGATAAGTTGATCTAGACCTTGAACCTGTTGAGCTGTTTTCAATGGGATAACTTGACCTAGAATTCATCTGTCTCCTATCACGTACTCTGTCATTACTTATTGCGGTACCAGAATCTGTTGCTTCTACCTCAGGATAAGATAGATACTCAAGGAAAGAGAATGAGAACTCAACCTCTAGATCAGTAAATATATTGTTGTCTTCACTCAGTTCATCCTCATCCTCAGACAGTCCACTTGGGAAGTCAAAAAAATTCCAATCATTCCACAGACCATCTCCATCCCATTCATCAAAGCTAGGCAATTCATCCAAGTCACCCCAGTCATAGTCAAGATCTTGCTGGTATGCACTAAGTGCATCCTCAAGGTCTCTTTGTCGCTCCAACCTCATCCATTCAGACTGCCGCTGGGTATTGGCCTCAGCTGGTCGATCAGAAGGGTGCTCAAGCCTGGCATGCTTTCTCAGCTCGGAATAATTTCCGCTGAAGTTACAATTTTCTGAAGAGCAGCTCCTTAGTTTGGAGTTCATGAACCTCCGTGCAGGCTCTATAGAAAGCCATCCAGTGATCTTTCCCCGGCAAAGGGGGCAGACAAACAAAGGTTGCTCTCCCTCAAGGGAATTGATTGGCCTAGATAACGGTTGTTCCCCTCTGTGTCCGCGAGTTGCTGCCCTTGGTGCTGAGACATCTTCTCGTGGAGTAGCCACTGGAGCTGGTGATGATGCACTAGATGACTTGCGAAACTGATCAAGGCAATTTGAATGTCGGGAACTTGTGTCACACATGTATGGTCGACAGCCTTTATCATGGGAGGAACATAGTAACAGGACAGCATTGTGTGGGTGGTCCATACAAATAGGGCATCTAGCTTCTTCCCATTCAGCTTCATCTCCAACATGAGGCAAACATCTTTCTGACTTCGTGGGATCAGAAATCTTCGAGCTGCCAGCATAAGGAGATACCCTAGCCCGGTCAAAAGATGATGAATTCACCCTTCTATCTTTCGGCATTTGAGATATTCACAAAATACAAAATTATGTTTTTTCTTCAATGCGCCAAGACTGCTTCCATAACTAATCACAATTTCACGATGAGGTCAGTTATCGTACATGTACAGGTTGACAATATTTATCCCAATTCAGCATTTAAAAATATCACTATATCAATGCAGATGACAAATCAATTTTCTTGAGTCTTAAACTACAGTTCATCAACCCCTGATGATTCTGATTACAACAATTCTCTAACTCATAATTTTACAATTACATGAGTAAACACAAGACAGAAAAGTACGCGTGGCATGAAAAATATGAGAATTTGTGGGATTTTGATTAAAATCTTGAATATTAATTTATCTCCTATATTTTTTCCACACAATCCAATCAGGCAAGTGTCTAGCTTTTAACAGTTTATACCCATTAATTTTTCAAGATCTTTAACCTACACTACACATATTATGATTATTTTTACATCTAACAGAAGAAAAAAACCAAGCACAACCACGACCTAGTCAACTAATCAAAATATTAACTTAACAGAAAAAACCCACAGAAGACCTCCAGAAACTAAACCTAAAAAGGTAAAACATCAAAATAAGCAAACATCACCCCTCCATATTACAAACGATTCATTTAATTATCACAAAAATAATCATCAGAAGCCCAAGAAGCGAGCTAAACAATCTCCAGCATGAAAAACTTTAATCAAAGCATAATTTCCATACATCAAAATTTTGCATAATTATTAATATAAAAACGACATGGTTACAACTTGCATCAGATTAAAAATCTTGAAATTGGTGAATTTATACGGACCTGAAACCCGATCCGTATCGGTGGAGGCGGAGCTAGGGATTTTGAATTGGAAGATTGCGTAGGGGCCGGTGATTTCCAAGAGCGAACGCTGAAGCGAAATGAACGAGAGGCGGACGTCGTGGTTACTTATATTGGGAGAATGAATATGATTACGTAAAAGCCCCTCTTCTGTCAGTAAATTACTGAGTCCATCCAAAGTCATTCTAATTGATGGGCCGACCCGAATCCAGAAAATTCTAAATCGAATTTGATTCAAATATTCGTAGTCATTGTGACTGTACTTTAGCCCCCATTTGACCGTCATTTTTTTTTTCATTTTTTATATACTTATTTTTAATCACATTTACACAATAAAATATTCTGCACTTAAATTTAAAATTTTTTCTTACTTTTTTAATCACACATTCTCCTAAAAATCGCTGTTCAAAATATGATTTTTTCCATTTAGTGGTTGTCAAATAGGGGCTCAACTCTATACCTCAATTAATGTTAATTTGAACACCATACTTTAATTTGTTGTCAATTAGGTCATTATACTTCAATTTTTATCTCAATTTAAGTCATTCCGTTCAATCAATCGCTTAAATACTAAAGGTCTTTATACTTCAATTTTGTCTTAATTTAAGCCATTTTGTGCAATCCATTGCTTAAATACAGTGGTCAGGAAATTGACATAGAAGATGTGATCCAATCGAAAAGTCTATAGGAAAATGATAGTTTCAATTGTATAAATGATTTTTTTTTTTTTCCCGAATTGGCTATTAGTATGTAATAGCTACGTCAGTATCTGCATTAATGTTTGGTACCCATTTTTTTTAAAACTCATTTTCAACAACACATTCTCCTCTAAAATAATTTTACACGTAAATCGAAATATTTTCCTTCTTTTTTAACTACACATTTTTCAAAAAATCAGTATTCCAAAATACATTTTCTTACCAAAATAGTGATAAATAATGCAATGAAATATAATGAAGTGGTCTATATTTCGACAATAACCGACATGATATTCCATTATAAGATCCAATGGGCACAAGTTGAATTATAATTACCCAATTGTACGATCCAATGGGCACAAGTTGAATTATAATTAAACAATTGAAAATTGAATAAGAGAACAGCAACTAATGAATAAAATCAACCCCACACACTAGTTCGAGGCAAAGATCTGACCATTAGCTTTCACTTTCTGCAATCATTTTGACGGTTCTAACACATTTCTGAGAGGGAAAAGTTTCAACTCACACAAAAAACTTTGTTGCTAATAACCTAATACTGTGTCCTATTTGGTCGATGTATTTTTAATTTTATTTAATAAAACTATTTGTAAACAATAAACATGGTTGAAAAAAATGTGCATAGTTAATTATAAATCTCACTCGGGAATGTGTATCACATCGTATATAAAGTACACCGAGACCATTAAAATTAAATGAGTACTTGGATATAATTACAATTTATTAGAATTCTAATATTACGGATGAGTGAATAGTAGTTATGAGTTTTACGAAATGTATTAATAAAATTAAAGTTGTGGGAGCCACTCGATTTGAACTAGTACCCACAGGGGCGGAGCTCGAAAAAGACGTGGAGAGGGGCTGAATTTTTTTTAAAAAATCAGTAAACTCACGTAATAAGAGATGCTCTATACCACACCAAATATAATTTAAAAAGCTAAACTTATGACACAAATGAAAAAGTGAGTCGTATAAATAAATAAGTATAAACATATAAATCATTAACATGTCTTATTAAATCTTAGTAGCTTTTCTTGCCAAATAAAAAATCTTGACACCTCCCTAGAAAATACAAAATATGTGAAATGATGATAAACATGAACAAATGATGTATACCCACTAACAAAAAATTAAGAAAAACATATTGCACTATTACGAGACTCAAGGCCTAAAAAGAACGATAAATCATTCCAGTTATTAATGATTTTTAATCAAAATACATCGTTATGAAATATTATCTAATATGTGCATTAATCTTCTATATCAACACATTTTAATTCCACTTGAAGTGGGAAAAATCGACCAAGAATATCGAGAATTCAAAGAAATTGGATTTATTTCAGTTTTATGTTTGACTCACTTCAATAATATAATTTTAATAATTTTAATTTATAAATAAATATTTTTTAAGAAATATTATTTCTACTAATAAAATTAAATATAGAGCAAGTTATGTATTTTTATAATAACATCTATTTCATGGTCAATAAGTATTTTTTTAACTTATAAGTAAAATTAATAAAAGAAACATACAAAAAATTAAATTTGAATTACTTTTAAGATTTTCAATAGTTTTTATTTTTTGTCCCTCGTCATATTTTATATGTATGGTTAGTTTCATTAGATAATTTTCTTGCTTATGATAAGCATACTAACATGGATACGTTTTCTAATGTGAAGAGGTTAAAACATCAATTAATACAATTTTATCCTCTCATTTGGATTTTATTTCTTTGGACTACTGTAGCAAAAATAAGGTTGTTCATTGCCTTTCACTTACCATATTAAATTTTGAAAGAAGTTCTATTATTTTGAGCAAGAGATTTGGAAGTGGGGTAATTTTAAAATTTGATCCATTTAAGAAATTAGGCTTGAAGTGGACAAATATTATAGAAGTTGGCTAATTTTAAATTTGGACTAGTGATGGCAAAAAAATTCGTCCCGCTCTAACCCAGCGTTGCCCAACCCCCGCCCTGAATGGGGCGAAAAAACCCGCCTGGATAGGTTGGTGGGGCGGGACGAGGAGGGGGCGCCCCGACCCGAAGAGCCCCGAACCCGCCCCGTGAAAAATAAAAAAAATAATTAATTACAAATTAAAAA